GTCGGGGTGCCGCCGCGCCGGGCGCATTCCTGGGGGCTGAATCACGGGGCGGCCGGTGAGCGCTGGGGGGGGGCCGGCGCGTCACCACTTCCGTGCCAGCCCTCGCCCGGCTCCGCTCCCCGCTTCCCTTCCTCTTCCTCCTTCCCCGCTCCCAGCAGGGACCGGGATCCGGCCGCAGCTTGGGAAGGGAGGGCAGCCTGCCATCACCTTGCCTCAGTTTCCCCCTTGTTTTGTTTTTTGAGGGGAGGGGCTGCGGGGAGGGCTATTTGGGGCTCCCTGTGGTGCAAAGCCACAAGGCCGGGTGGAAAAAATCACTGCGGGCCACTAACTGCAGGAACTGGGGCAGGGACGGGAGTCACGGGTGAAAATAACCACTGCGGGCCACTGACTGCGGGAACCGGGGCAGGGATGGGAGTCACGGGTGAAAAAACCACTGCGGGCCACTGACTGGGGGAACCGGGGCAGGGACGGGAGTCACGGGTAAAAAAACCACTGCGGGCCACTGACTGCGGGAACCGGGGCAGGGACGGGAGTCACGGGTAAAAAAACCACTGCGGGCCACTGACTGCGGGAACCGGGGCAGGGACGGGAGTCACGGGTAAAAAAACCACTGCGGGCCACTGACTGCGGGAACCGGGGCAGGGACGGGAGTCACGGGTAAAAAAACCACTGCGGGCCACTGACTGCGGGAACCGGGGCAGGGACGGGAGTCACGGGTAAAAAAACCACTGCGGGCCACTGACTGCGGGAACCGGGGCAGGGACGGGAGTCACGGGTAAAAAAACCACTGCGGGCCACTGACTGCGGGAACCGGGGCAGGGACGGGAGTCACGGGTAAAAAAACCACTGCGGGCCACTGACTGCGGGAACCGGGGCAGGGACGGGAGTCACGGGTAAAAAAACCACTGCGGGCCACTGACTGCGGGAACCGGGGCAGGGACGGGAGTCACGGGTAAAAAAACCACTGCGGGCCACTGACTGCGGGAACCGGGGCAGGGACGGGAGTCACGGGTAAAAAAACCACTGCGGGCCACTGACTGCGGGAACCGGGGCAGGGACGGGAGTCACGGGTAAAAAAATCACTGCGGGCCACTGACTGCGGGAGCTGGAGGTGGGATGGGGGCCGTAGGTGAAAAAAGTCAGCGCGGGCCACCGAGGGCTGGAGGGGCCGGAGGGCCGGGG